AACTACCATGGACAAGGCATTGTGCTGGAGATGATGACCAAGTCCATACATGAGTTAAAGATGGCTCCATCCTCAAGAAGCTTACAGTCAGTGATGGAGACATAGACATTCAACTTATGCTAGAAAGCAGACTGAGATGGTTAACCTAGAAGGCCTTGGTACTCACACACACACACCTCTTCCTAAAAGAGGTCAGATTTCAGGTCTTGCCCTTGACTGGCTCCTAGGAGCTGAGCTCTGAGCCTTGGACCCATGGAAGCCCCCTTGTTCACAAAGACCATCCAAATTTCCTTTCTTGGTCTCATAAATCATTAGCTGAACTATTTGTACCCACTGGTCAACTAGAGGAATATACTTGTTAACCAAACTTTAGTTAAGCTTCTCGACTTTCTCCAGGCTCCTTAACTCTGACCCATCCTTGTTGGCTGGATCCAGTATATAGTGTCTCCTTAAAGAACCTCTCCTCAGATTAGACCTAGCCCAGGATAAAACAAATCAAAACTACAATGAGGTACCATTACATGCCAGTCAGGATGGCTGCTATCTAAAAGTCTACAAGCAATAAATGCTGGAGAGGGTGTGGAGAAAAGGGAACCCTCTTACACTGTTGGTGGGAATGCAAACTAGTACAGCCACTATAGAGAACAGTGTGGAGATTCCTTAGAAAACCGGAAATAGAACTGCCATATGACCCAGCAATCCCACTTCTGGGCATACACACTGAGGAAACCAGATCTGAAAGAGACACGTGCACCCCAATGTTCATCACAGCACTGTTTATAATAGCCAGGACATGGAAGCAACCTAGATGCCCATCAGCAGATGAATGGATAAGGAAGCTGTGGTACATATACACCATGGAATATTACTCAGCCATTAAAAAGAATTCATTTGAATCAGCTCTAATGAGATGGATGAAACTGGAGCCCATTATACAGAGTGAAGTAAGCCAGAAAGATAAAGACCAAAACAGTATACTAATGCATATATATGGAATTCAGAAAGATGGTAATGATAACCCTATATGCAAAACAGAAAAAGAGACACAGATGTACAGAACAGACTTTTGGACTCTGTGGGAGAAGGCGAGGGTGGGATGTTTCAAGAGAACAGCATCGAAACATGTATATTATCTAGGGTGAAACAGATCACCAGCCCAGGTTGGGTGCATGAGACAAGTGCTCGGGGCTGGTGCACTGGGAAGACCCTGAGGAATCGGGTGGAGAGGGAGGTGGGAGGGGGGATCGGGATGGGGAACACATGTAAATCCATGGCTGATTCATGTCAGTGTATGAGAAAACCCACTACTATACTGTAAAGTAATTAGCCTCCAACTAATAAAAATAAGTGGAATAAACAAGCAAACAAACAAAAAAACATTCTCTGATCTACTGCCCCATCATGACACCTGCACTGTCTCATCTCATTCTCCACACCTGGCTCTTTCTAGTCCTTTTTCTCTCTGAAATAAAACCCCTTTTTTGGCCCAGAACACTTGTAGATCTCACAGTTGGAGCTTTCTTACTTTGCAATAGAAAATAGTCCCCATTTCTTCCATTGTCCCCTTGTTGTAGTAATCCTTTCAAATAAAGTCACTCCTTACTAATGCCTAGAGTTTATTTTTATTTGGCATTGTCCTCTGGCTGATGGAGAATTCTTTACATAAGCATATCCAAGCCTTTTTATTAGTGAATAAAATAAAATGCTCAGGTATCTCAATACGTTCTTTCTATAAATCTAATAATTTTTGAGATTGAATATGTTTTTATTTATGTGGGCTGGTGTTTATGGAGAGTGTTTTTTTTCAAACATAGTTAACCTATAGAAAAAGAAAATGTTTTGTTTAATTAGTCTAAATATCTGAATAGTCAGCACACACACACACACACACTGTCTCATACATAAATTAACCTCAATGAAGTAATTTTGATTGTAAGAGATATATCATAAATTTTTACCAAATATGGCTTTGCAGTTGGAAAACATCAGACTGTAATTAAAATATTGATACAACTGTCTAGCTATTTCTACACAATCTTTCCAGTTTTCATACAGGTATTAGGAAAACAGATCTCATTTTAAAAAATTTTAGATCTTATTTCATTTACTCAAATTATAAAAATAGCACATGCTCTCAGCCAGAAGTATGGTACAGTGGTTAAGATTTGCAGTCAGACTGCCCGTGCTCAAATTCTTCATAGCTGTGAGAGCTGGAAAAATGAGCTCACCTCTTTAAGTCTTATCGTACCCCACTTTTGCCCCTCATTGTTTTAAGCATTGTACAGATCATTTAGGTTCTCTATATTTTAGCTTTCCACTTTTGGAAAATCATCATAAAAATTGCAACTAACAAAGTTGTTGAGAATAGTAGATATGTTATCCTTATTTTTAATTACCTGAATAATTTTTTTTTCTTTTGCTATATATCTTGCATCACAATAAATTCTAATGAGTTCAAGCAGCACCAGTCCATTTATCTCTAAGACGGGACATTTACCTCTAGCTTACTTGCTTCTAGGTTGGTTTATTCCCAGGTCTGGAGATGCCTGGTTGCCTGGAGCCTCTCTCTCTTGTTCCGAGACTTACTGTAAAGGCCACAGCCCAGTCAGTCCTGGGAGGGTGTGGTGAAAATGAAAAGTGAAAGTGAAAGTCACTCAGTCTTGTCCAACTCTTTGTCACCCCGTGGACTAGACAGCCCATGGCATTCTCCAGGCCAGAACACTAGAGTGGGTAGCCTTTCCCTTCTCCAGGGGATTTTCCCAATGCCTGTTTTTCAGGTTCCTACTGGGGTTCTCCAGACTAGGGGCTATACAGGGCCCTCCTTTATGCTAATGCCTCCTAGAGCCTCAGGCTCTGCCTTTTCAAGGCATTATTTACACCAAAGATCCTCAACCAATGGTGATTTTACCCTCCAGGATCTTTTTTGGTTGTCATAACTGGGAGGAGATAGTCACTGACATCTATAGGTAGAAGTCGGGAAAGGGATCACTACTAAACATCCAACAACATGAAGGGCAGTATCCCTGCCCCCCAACAAAGAATTATCCAGGCTTGCCTGACAGTGGTGCTAAGATTGAGAAGTGCAGATTTATGTAAATACCATTGATCCCAACAATTTAGTCAAAGAATATCTGCTTATTCAAATACTGAACGTGGGACAGTGACATTGTATCAGAGATAAATCTACCTTCATCCAATCACACCGTGACTACTTTTCCTATGAGGCACTTTAGCTCTGGGAGAAAAAAATGATCAATCAGTTGGCAACAAAAATTTATTGATTAGTTTGCAACTTTAGGTACAACATATATTTCATCACATGGTTATAATTCAGTATTTGTGCTTTGTAGCATAAGTAAACATTCATTCGAGCACAACAAAAGTCTACACACAGTATTACAATCTTCTGGGGTTGTTTAAAAAATAAACATATCCTTTTCCATTTAGTATCGCAAAGACTTTCACTTTGAGAGGGTGGATAAATGTTCAAGTTTGGTATTTGTATAATACATCAATTAAATATATAACCCAAATTTGGACCATTTTTCTATAATAAATGCCTAATGAGTCCTGGAGAGGATTCTGGGGGTGGGTGGTAGGGAGGATGACTTCCAATAAATTTTTTTTTGACATTTCAAGAAATGTCAATTTCTTGTCAATATGGATGACACAGAAAGCCAGCATCAATGGTGAGGGGCTTTGTTCGCATTTAAAATTACTTGATAATCTTAAAAATAGTGTAAAAGCATAGTATTTCAGGAAATCTTTAATAAACACTTTCTTTGTTCAAGAAAATAAAAGTCAGTCTAGCTCATTTAGCTGAAGGGGAAAAAGACCTATTAGGGAGAAGTTAAATACCTTTATTTTTCAAAAAAGTAAATCTCTGTTTTTAAAATACTTCAATGTGACAATATTTTCTTTTTCCCAAATTAAATGCCAGTATCCTTAAATTAGTTAGTATATAATCCTAACTGGATATGTCAAACCCTGCATTCATTATAAATGTCATCTGACTAACAGGTCTGCCATACAGGCACCAACATGTTTATAATGAAATCATAGGGCTCAAATGTCAATATACAACTTAAAACAATAATCTCTTCATATTTTATGAACCTCTAAGGCTAACCTGATATATTATTTATGATAATCTCTTCATAATTTGCAATGAAAATGAAAGTTTATATTTTATATAATTTAATATACAAGCAGATTTTCTCTCCAAAGACTCTCTTTAGCAGGAAAGCTTTCCCATAGGGTAAGTTCTGTAACTATGTCACTCATGTAATAAACAGATGGAAATAAGACAATCTTCCACCTTTCTCTCTCTCAGCTGAACACCAAGAGTCTTTTGATTAGCTAGGAACTCAGACATTGTTGGGGAGATATGAAATATTTATCAGTGGGCTAGAGTGAACAAATGAAATCACCTCTATAGGGAACACTGATATATTCTTGCATCTCTGTTAATATCCACTGATAATGGTCTAAAACAGAAAAGCTTTTATATCAAAAGTCTGGAAATTTCTCACCCATATCTTAAATATTTACCTGGGCTGATAGACCCTTTAATCTGCCCAAAAAAGTAAAATAAAGTTTACAGTAGAGTTTATAAAATGATTTTGACCAGTGATGTTTCCAGTTGATTCATATAATAGGAGATATTACATGATTTTATGTTATTAAAAATATGCAATTGCAACTCTCCTGGAGTTTAGGCCTAGTCCTAAATTTTCCATTTGGGCCCATTACAATTTCTGTTTCTCCAGCCATTCTAACACAAGCTCTTTTAAAGTCACCTACAGGTTGTATTGATTTGTACAGACCTATATTTTGCTTTCCCTCAGATTTATTCCATGTGCAGCAGACTTGAGGAGCAGATTTTTTCCTAGCTCTGTTAATGTGATGTGATGTTTTGAGAAAGTTTAGAGCATTTAGAGCAAACCACTGTAATCTAAGCTGGAAAGAAGGAAAGGGATACTCTGCAGGAGACTGCTGCCTTAGCCCAGTTCCAAGAGCCAGTCAAAGAGACTTGGGGTCCCATCCCTCCGCTCCTCGTGTATCTTGCAGTACTGAACCACTGCATGGAAGATATCCCCCACCTTCCAGGACTTCTGATGGACCAGCCGCACAACATCTAGAAACTAGAGGAAAGCACAGAGTTAGGACTCACGTATCACAGATAATCCTCAAAGTCATCTCATTCAACCACTCTACCAAAGCCAATGGCTCTCCAGGCTGTTTTTGAATACCTCTAGTGACAGGGAACTATATTTCAGGACAGTCTATTTTCTTTGTAGACAGTCCAGATTATTAGAGGGTTCTTTCAAGTGAACTGAGATTTTCCTCACAGCAGTTGCCATCCACCAATTTTGAGAGTCTACATGGAATTCTTCTTTCAACATCTTATCTTTTTGGTATTTGAAGAGTTGCCTCAGATCCACTTTTCTCTGGGTTAGACTCTCTCTAACGGTTCTGTATGGCATGGTTCCCAGTGCCTTTTATCAGTGTCATACACACTCTTTCATAGGATGTACCATTTAGGCCAAATAAATTGTGTTAAAATTTTGGGTGCTGGTGAAGACTCTTGAGAGTCCCTTGGACCGCAAGGAGATCAAACCAGTGAATCCTAAAGGAAATCAACTCTGAATATTCATTGGAAGGACTGATGTTGAAGCTCCAGTACAATACTTTGGCCACCTGATGTGAAGAGCCAACTCATTGGAAAAGAGACTGATGCTGGGAAAGACTGAGAACAGGAGGAGAAGAGGGCGACAGAGGATGAGATGGTTAGGTATCATCATTGACTTAGTGAATATGAATCTGAGCAAACTCCAGGAGATAGTGAATGTAAGAAAAGCCTAGCGTGCTGCAGTCCATGGGCTCGCAGAGTCGGGCATGACTTTAGCGACTGAACAACAAACTTTTGGGTAGTTTTACTTACTGGTTCCTCATTCCACTTTGAAAAGTTCCCTCCTCCTTCATCAAGTTTCAAAAGACACTGTCTTTCCATTGGAACAGTAAAAGGAAAGATTGAGGAAACATCCTGACTCATCACCTGGCTAATGGTATCAGTTTCAATTGGCCACAACTTAGAAAGAGTGTGACTGCAGGTTGAGTTGGAGCACTGGAAGATGGGAAAATCATTACAGATGGTCTCCTTCATGAAACTGTGGCCTAAAGCTCAGCATGAAGTCCTCTCAAACTCCTTAGTCAGATACGTATAAAGAAAAGTATCAACTATTAAGAGCCAAAACCTGTAGGAAGTACCTTTCAAGCATGTAATCTCATTTAATTCCATCAACAACCCTGCAAATCAGGCATTTAAAGATGAAAAATTGTGGGTTTGTGAGATGAAAAGTTGGCAGTAAGATGGTCTTCTTTTTTTAATGTGGATCATTTTAAGAGTCTTTATCAAATTTCTTACAATATTGCTTCTGTTGTCTACATTTTGTCTTTTTGATCACAAGGTATGTGGGATCTTATCCCCTTGACTAGAGATGGAACCCACATCCCCTGCACTGGAGTGTGAAGTCTTAACCACTGAACCACCAGGGAAGTCCCAGGATGCATGGTCTTCTGACACTGCAGCCCAAAGCTCTTTTTGTTACAGTACCCCATGCCTTTTGCTGGTAGGAGAATATGCTAAGTCACTACAGTCGTGTTTGACTCTTTGCGACCCCATGGACTGTAGCCTGCCAGACTCCTCTCTCCAAGGGATTTTCCAAGCAAGAAAACTGGAGTGGGTTGCCATTTCCTTCTCCAAGGTAGGATAATAAGACATTAATATTTATTTGGAACACTGGGACAAAGGAAAGGCTGGGACTCTAGTCTCGTTTATTGAGGAAGAAAAATCTATTTCTTAAAAAGATGAGAGATGTGGTTTAGTTACTATTTCTTCAATGTTTCCTTCTAGAATTTCTTTGCCCTGCTCATTTCACATATGCTCAGACTTTGAAGATGAGCCAGAAATTGGAATGCTAATTTTTTTCTGATCTTCCCCCGCCCCCTTCAGTTTGAATTTGCTAATTCATTTCAATTACTGAGAAGTTGTTTCCCAGAGAGCTACTATTAAATTATGTTTCTTCTTCCAGCTGCTGTGACAGCACCAGCTACTGCAGTTACAGAAATCAGTGCTTTATTGTACTCATTCGCCTTGTGTTGGCTTAATCAGAATAAAGCAATTTTCTAGGCTGGAAAATAAAATGCTTAACTTTTAATACATGGAAACATAAACATCATCTCAAAGAGTTTTGGGAAGATGCAAAAAGGAGACCAATGGGAAGCTGATGGCAACAGGATTATAGACAGTAATCTCCCTGGGAAAGGACCCCATCTGAACTGCCTCTCACTTTTTTTTTTTTGGCTTTACCAGGTCTTTGTTGCTGCACGTGGGCTTTCTCTAGTTGAAGCAAGCAGGGGCTACTCTGTTGTGAGTGAGAGGGCTTGTCATTGCAATAGCTTCTGTTGTTGGGGATCACGGGTTCTAGAGTAACAGACTCAGCAGGTACGGTGCACCAACTTAGTTGCTCTGCAATCTGAGGGATCTTCCCAGACCAGGGATAGAACCCATGTTCCCTGCATTGGCAGGCGGATTCTTAACCACTGAACGTTAACCAGGGAAGTCCTTAATCACTTAATATTGGTAACATCTTATGGAAAAAACGTGAATGAACTATTTGGTCAACCCAATATCTTATGCCTGCACCTAGTAGGGACTCAATAAATATTTGCAGAAGGTGGAACATCCAAATGTGAGTCAAATATATCAAATGCTTCAAAATGATCAATAAGACTACTTGAAATATGGAGTGACATCCAGAATCATTGAAGCTGAACCTTGTCTAAATATTCATTCTTGAGTTTTACATATTTACATTTACACCATTAAAAAATTAGTAGGCACATCTTGGGCTGCTTACTCAATAATTTCCTCCAAATAATTTCCTCATTTTTTGCTCCAAAAAATGAGTTGAGGTTGAGAATCTAAGCAAAGGCAGAGCCTGAACTGGTGCCATGGTAGTGGGCAAAGAGCAAAGTCAGAGATGGTCCTGGGGCAGGTGTTTGATCACCTGTGACCGGGAGTGGACATGCATGGTGGAGGTGGGGTGCCCAGGCCTCCTCTTCACTGGTCACTACAACAGCCCTGGAAGGTTAGCTTCAATCAGTTCCATCAGTCTCAGTGACAGAATTTCAAGAGTGTTAGTTGTCCGGTATCCCTCACAATTCTGTTGTGCTTTCTGTCTGTCAGACTCCTGAGATTTTAGAGAACTTAATCCATTAGGTTAAAATTTCGCTCAGGACACAAATACCGTTAGAAAGAGGAACACTCTAGGTGGTTAATAGTAATTTATGGAGCTGCATAATAATATAATTTTGTGAGCTGTTACTTGTATCTTGGTGTGTATGAAAGATCCCAGGCATGCATGTTTTTCCTTTGGACTAGGTGGCAAACACATGTGGCCTCAGGAAAAAGGGGAGAAAGGCTAGGATGTCTTTGCATGATTTAGCTAATCAGACTTTCCCAGCTCTTACTGGAGAAAGGTGCGCCCAGTGCAGAAGGTTTGAACATCAAGTTTCTGAGGTCTCACTGAGAGAGGCTCATATTAATAATTCACTGACTTCTCTTCAAGATTTTCCTCCAGGGTCATCAGTGGTCTTAGACCAGACTTATCCCATGAGGGTGTTTCCTCTTCTTTAGCATGTTTTATAAAGATGCAGTATAAAGTACACAGAAATATAAACTTAGTCTCAGCACTTTTTTTTTTTTCTTTCTGTACACTCTAGTTTCCTGGGCCACCATCTTATTCCCAACTTTAATCTCTGAGTCATTGCTCTGGGAGAGAATGAAAATTACAGAGCAGATGTCAGTATTGGCTAAACTCTTCCCAGAAGGCTGTCTGCTTCAGACCTTTCTGGAAGGTCTTAGCTACTTTCCAATATTAGCTACTTTCCATCTATTTTGGGCCTGCTGAAGCAGGGTCTCCCACTGTGGTCTGTGATGATGACCACAGGATGCTGTGAACTGACCCCAAATTGTCAAAATGTCCTGCCAACTAGGCTACTCTATCAGTAGTTTGTGAAATGGCTACATGCTAGAATCTGTCTCATGTCTTCTAAGGTCAGGTTGATATCCCAATAAATTGGAGAAGGAAATGGCAACCCACTCCAGTATTCCCTCCTGGAAAATTCCCATGGACACAGGAGCCTGGTGAGCTACAAGTCCACAGGGTCGTAAAGAATTAGACACGATTGAGCGGCTAACCACATCCCAAAAAGCGATTTTTAAAAATTATCTGGTCCCACTAAATATAGCATGCTTTTAGTGTGATGGCTTCATCTCAGACATTAAGACCTTGAAACATTGGTGGGGTTGATGAGTAGGGAAAGTCTTACACTTTCCTTTCTTCCTTTATTTAAAAAAAATTCTATTTTTTTTTGGTTTATTTTTATTAGTTGGAGGCTAATTACTTTACAATATTGTAGTGGTTTCTGCCCTACATTGACATGAATCATCCATGGATTTACATGTGTTCCCCATCCTGTACCCCCTCCCACCTCCCTCCCCATCCCATCCCTCTGGGTCATCCCAGTGTACCAGCCCTGAGCACTCGTCTCATGCATCCAACCTAGACAAAAATGAAGCTAAGATTATAAATAAACCAGAAAAGGACGCTTCCAGTTCATTACTACAGTCTTTAAAAACTGCATTCTATTTAGCAGCTGTCCCTATATCTTTCGCTGTGTCTGTCCATGCTATGGACTCGGTAATTTCGTAATCAGCTTTAGGATGCCAGGGATCTGAGTTTTTCTTTCCAACGTACTGACAAATACAAATAAAAAATTTTCATTTTCTATCATTTCACAATTAATAACAATTAAGTTCCCTTCCTATGTATCATAGTTGCCATTTCCTTGAACAAATATTTCATTTTAGGAAGCTAGAAGAATTTACATCCTGTGATGGTAAGTTGGAGACCTATCAAATGACAGGTACCTTTTATATTCCCAGGTGCATTTACTCAATTAGACTACTTGTTTATAAAATCATATGGTGGGATCTATGGGTTGTTGTTGTTTAGGTGCTAAGCTGTGTCTGACTCTTGGTGACCCCATGAACTATAGCCCCTCAGGCTCATTTGTC